AATATTAATCAAACACATTAATAATATCCTATAACTCCTTGATATCAATTACTAATTGATAACACATGTTAATTAGTAAAATCATATTGAATTAATAATTACTATAAGTTTCGAGTTTCACATCACTCCAGAGCTTTGGATCGGCAGATGTCATATGACTTCAGATATGTGTTTTAGTTTAATCATTAATGTTCTTCAGCTGGAAGTCTAAATCCTTGATTATTAAGAATCGGTATGACAATGTCTTTTTGACCATTAATAAATGATGTTTTTCTCATCAAAATACTTATAGTCTCTTAAAATTGTATTGTTTAAAAGGTTATTATCTGACTTTTCGAAGAAAATTGGAATTTTTGCTGGATGTCTATAGATTTGTTACATATACTTTACACAAAATAAACTTAATATATAATTTTTAAATAATATAATTTATATGAATATATATAAGATAATTATTGTAGATAAAAATTATATTTAAATTATTCAACTAAATAAGTTATATTTTATTGTTTAACCAAATTTTCAAGTTTATTTCTATTATAAATCTTTATATTTTATTGTTATTTTAAAAAATAAAAATTATTTATTATATTAAGATAAAGCAAATCAGCTCTTATATTAATATAGTATAATATTGTACTTCACTTTATTAATAGAATCCACAACTATCTTAATTATATATTATTGTTGTTATTACTTGCATACAAATTCTAATATTTCAAAAGAAAAAAACATTAAAACAAGTAAAATATAAAAACAATAAATAAATATTATAAAGAACAAATGTTGATCTATTTAAAAAAATATAATTTGATTAATTTATTGGATAATATACAAGTTGTGTTCTAAATGGTTCAAGTCAACTAGAAATTTGCAAGTTGAATTGAATTAATATTGGATTTAAGCATTAATTATGACTAGTATTCATTTTACTTACAATCATATGCATATAATGAATATAATCCCCAAATTACAATAGTAGATTTATTTGATCTATAATGGATTGCAAAGAACTAGAGCATTTTGGAACAAAGAAAATTTTTGACAAGAAACAAGAAATATTTAAAGAAATTGAAGCAATAATGCCAGTTTTAATAATATTGAAAATATGTGTGAAGAATTACAGATTGGTGAGTAACCATGTGATATTGTCAATAATCACCAAATTTCTTGGATCAAATTTTATAACTGCTTCTTTTACTAAAAGTTTATTGTTGATTTGGATAACTCTGGTGTCACCTTGTTGAGACCAGAAAGGTTTACATTGATATTTAAATTCATTTGACTTTGATGACTTGTATGAATTGATTCTACTAAATGATGATAGTTTAGATGATTTTGTATGTTTCTTTTGTCATAAAGCATCATTAATAAAATTTTTTGTAATAGTCTTGTTTTGTATTATTTCCGAAAACAATATCTGTTTCACTTCATACTTGGTGGTTTGGATTAATGAATTTGAAAGTCTACATTATTAGTATAAGAAAGAATATCAAAACCAAGTGTTCTAGCTGATAAAAGGGCCTTGTCCAAGAAAGACCACGTCTAGAGAAAACCATTATTGTTCTCAGATCTTGATTCATAAAGAATTCAAATGGTCACATAAATTGGATGTATCACAGCTAAGAAATGATAAGATAGTCTAAACAAAGCTTTTGTCCACTTCTTTGTCATGTTTAGACACGTGTTTCCGATCTTCTTGTCCATAGGTAATTGGTCAAGCTTGATGAGCTTATTCCAGGGATATATCTGGAGCAGTAGTTGTATTTTGTTTGACGGTAAGGTGTTGTCCTTGTAAATATTTGTAGGTAAGTTTTCGTTCTCGTGGAATGTCAACCAAGTGGTGTTAGGGTCAACCAGAAACTCGTCTAAATGATCATCTGAAGATGTAATTGATTGATTGCTCTATCATTTTGGGAAGAAATATGGTTGTGAATTATCGTACTTAGCATCGAACATATTTAGAGGGTAGTGTGATTTTCTGTGCGGAGAAAAAACTGCCTGTTTGATCCGATATAATAAAAATAGGAATTATTAGATAGGACACAATAGAATGGCTCAATAACGATATAATATCAGGATACTTCAACAAACCCTTACGAATTAGCAGGCGATCTCATACACTCGAGAAAGAACTTTAAGTTTAATGGTATTGTAACAGGGAGAAATGGGACGCGACTGTAGTCACGTGAGCAATATTCGTGACAATGGTAAGTCGGCTGTAATAATTAGGTAATAACGAGTGACGAAAGAAAGTGATGAGAGAAATTATGTAAGATAGCTTAAAGCCTCGTCATTGTACTATAGCTTATTATTCTATACCCAAGCCGCCATAGCCAAATGTAAAGAAAGAGAAGTATAAAAAGAATGTAAAGTGTAAAGGGAGAGAGAACATAGAAGTGAGAAAATAAATAAAGACTCGGTCAAATACAAACACGCCTCAAATCACCCTTTCATTTATTTACCCAGTAACGGTTACGCGAATCTCTGCTAGAGTTAGCGACTGACTCGCAGTTACACCGTTATAGTATGTTTGACATTACGCAAACTAATGCTGTATGGTTTTCCATTATCTGAATATACCGCTCTTCGTCTTCTTGTTTAAGCACATTATATACCAAACATAATAACATAATCAGAAATTTGATCGGGGAATCAAATTTTTAGCTTCTAGACCAGATACAGTGACACTCCTCTACGCAAACGGTAACGGTTGCATGCAGCAAATATTTGGATATTATGGCGAATCAGTTTCTCACGACATATTTGATGAACTATTAGGCTCTCTAGGAGACCAATGTTATTGTATGTTTATTTCGTCAAAGAATATCCAGGTTTCCCCCTCCTAGAATTTTACTGGATTTCAGCTATGAAATTGTGAAATGTCATTCTCCTTGATACCCACCTGAAGATTAAGTGCAAAAAACCCCTCACCTTGATCACACGGGCTAGAAACCCGATCAGACTTGTCAAAATCAGAATTGAGTTGGTAATATTTTTCTTAAATAAACATGACAATACATCCGGTCTCTCCACAAATAACAATGAGTATATTCGCCTGCACTCTTAGCAAAATAAATACCATATTTAACATCTTTGAAATTTTATGAGATCCATTTAGCAGCTTGTACTTTTTTGTTAGACTTTAAATGTCCACTTTGTGTAAACATTAGCGATTCGGGATCAATTGCAAACAGATTTAAACCAGTTCAGTTGTTACAGCTTTAGGTATTTCCGTTGTTACTGGAGGCAAAGTAGCCTTGACAGAAGCAGAAATTATCCATGTGCTGGTACAGGTTTATTATCTATTTCCATAGAATCCTTATCCACACCTTTCCGGGCGGCAACTTAACCACAACGAATTCTCTCTCGTACAAGTTCTTTAAGAATCCATTCTAATTCTTGTTCGCAAATTTCGCGTTCAATACTTTGTCGCTCAGCGTTTTCTGTTCCAGTTTTGGCAAGTTTCGTACATCATAAAATTAATTTCTATTTCTTAGCAATAAATTGACCAGATCAAATTTATCTTTATCAAAAATATCCATTAATTCATTTTCGTAGTCACGAGCATTTTATTCTAATTCAAGTATTTGCATGGTATTCGGCGTCTTTCTTGTGCAGTGTATGGATATGAACAATTGTTTGCTATTAGACGCTGAAGCCAGAATACATCAAATCATGCGGAGATATTTTTTGTAAAGCCTTTGCACCAGTGACCTTTGATTTGGCAGTATCTAGACCAATAGTAGTTCGGAATGCTTCGTTTTCTTCATTTGAATGGTTCTCTACCTTTTTCATCCTCAACTTGACCAACGCCTAATACACCTGTTGCCAATGCTTCCACACCACCACCATCATCTTCCTCCCCGGACTCGACTTCATATTTTCCAAATTCATCTTCTTCCTCTTCATCAAATAATACTTCAACTCTCAAGTTTATCATCAGTCTCGTCTGAAAGTTCACCGTCATCAATGGCATCCTCAGGATGACAATCTATTATTTTTTCCCCAAATTCACTAGTTGCGCAAATCTATCTGATCTGGTGCAATGGTACCAATGACCGTTTCAATATCTCTTTTCTTGTCAAAATTACTTCAAATTGTATCTTGAGCTTGATCACGAGGTTTGATGAACGAATGCCAAGGTGCAATTCGTATGTCTCTCGAGTCTCCTTTTGCCCGTAGTCTGTAAGATAACCCATAAAAATATTCAGTGGTCGCCAATATATTAAAGTATTCGTAGGATTTTTTTAATGCACTAGAGAACAATTTTATTTAATAAAAAATCAAGGGAAAACGACTCGAAAGAAAAAAAAGAGTAATATAAGTTGAACCTCTACACTTTTCTCGTTTCTTTTTCTCCTCCTGTGCTTTTATTCCTTTTTGCTTGTAAATCTTTTATGGTGTCCCTTTGTAGAATATTTCGGGTTGATTTTCCCGATAACGATTCTGGCTCGCCAGAAGGATCGATCTCGACGTGGTAATTCTTATCGATTTGCTTGTAAGATTAGAGTTAGCGGTGTATAAATTAGTACCAATATAAAATGAGAAATATCATTGTACTCTTACAATTATTAAATATATTTCAAACCTTAAATAATAAACTCATCGCGTTGCTTGATATCCAATATACATGTAATTTCGTTAATGCGGCTAATAGAAAGATCGGGGCTTGTGTTTCTAGCAGAAACTAAATATTTCCGAAAAAAATATGATTGAGAGAAAGTTAGCAGGTATTCAGAACCAGTCAGATCAAAGTCGTATCACAAGCTAGAGCTTAATCTGACCCGAACCCAACACGATGAACTTCAAGCTGGATTCGGGTCGGTTTGTTCTTTTATCTGTTGATGGAATAAAAAAGAATAGAACTCAGACCGATAAAAATCTCATCATACTTACCTAATTTACCTCACAAACTTGCCAAATCCTTCCCCCTTGTAAATTTATCTGAACGTTGTGACAATGTCGCCAACCATGACCCACAATAATAGATCAATTCTCTTAGTAATTTGATCGTTCAGCAAGGTAAGATTGCACCTTCCAATAAAAGACGCGTAGATTACATTTACCAAATATTCCTTGAAGAGTCACCCTAAATAAATTCGGATAGAACTTACTGAATAACCCGCAATCTGACTTGATAATCTGCGGTCAAAAATTGATCTGACTCATTCGAAACACTACTCATTCAGATAATCTGAAGTTTCTGAGTCACATTAAGCGAAACAAAAACTTACATACACTGAATGGACGAAAGTTTACGCCCGAAGTAATTATCTTAAAACTAATGATTATTAAACTTACCCAGTTCTCATTCTGTTGCCAGATTTCATACTTAACCGATAAGAGACGCAAAACTTTAGTAGTTAATATCCAATCGAAATTGTTCATTCTATTAAGTGTGAAAAAAAAAATAGTTAATGCAGTCTGATTACTTTTAAATAGCGCGTCCTAGTAAACATCAATGTAATAAGCCTGTGTTCCTTAAGATAGAGAAGAGATATTTCGATTTATGATAGAAACGAATTTGAAGATTTTAGTCAAATAATAAAAATTTTTTTAATTTATTTACTTAACCAATTTAAATATAACTTTTATTTACAAAAATTATCTCGTATATTTCGCGTAAATTACATTATAT